TAAATGCTGATAAAAACCGTGTGGAATGGGGATTTCTGTGCTAAAGATTCTTCTCTTTAACATGTTTAAGAAGGTTACTTAAGTCTAGGTGGTGGAGGATGATGCTTCAAATAGTTATATACTTAATACATTGGCAGATAAGTGATGAAGATTGATTTCTCCAGAAATAAGGTTGAGCTTTGACTCAGTACCCTGTATCAGACATCTGCTTTATTCTTACACATACTATGCAGTGAGCCTGCATCATTGAATCTGATAAAACGTTTGAGTACTGAGCTTGTTTACAAAACTGGGTGAGCCCAATGGGAGCTTCAAAGTTTGTTAAAGAAGCCCTCCTGTTTAGTCACAGGGTGCAGAAAGGACTCCATGCTTTCTAAACTCCTCAGAGAGGAGCCAGGGTGTGCCTGGATTCAGTCTTGCCCCAGACTTTTCAATGGTTTTTGTCTAAAGGATCACAAAGGTGTAATTGAACCTTTATACAACTTTATACAACTGCAGGATTAAGGATGGCAAACCATATATATTAATATAAATATATAAAATGTGTTTTGATACTTATTAGATACAAATAATTTACAGAATTATTTACTACACAGTACAAGAACTGTAACAACTATTATAATATAGTGCACTATGAAGCAATTGTATTGAAGCAGTTGTATCAAAGCTGAGAAAATAATTAAGCAGATTGATGTTACTCACCCATAACAATGACCTTGGGCAAATCTCTTTAGCTCAGCCTCGAGGAGTAAGAGGAGTAACCTTGAGGGATGTTACCCATTTAAGGGAGGAATCTCCATACATACACTCCAAGAAGGCTGTGTCAGAAAACCCTGCATTAAAATTTGGGACTCGGCTTTTATCATGTAAAGTTATTGATGATGGTCAGATGTCAGGTCAGATGTCTCCAGCTGTGTCAGCTCAGCAGCTTTGAGCAAGTTATTAGTAGTATCCCTTGTTTGTTTATCCAGGAACAGATCTACCACACCTTCATCTCACTATCAGGATGTTTAGCTTTGGGACTGATGAGTCAGGCTGGTGTCAGCATTATTCAATACCAAAAGCATTATGGTGCTCCCTTCTTCATTTACCACTTGTGGGTTTGCAGGCAGCATTGTTCAAGTTGGTTAACAACATTCGAGGCAGAATTTAGCTACACCGTTGAACAGGGATACCAGAATTAAATGTCAGCCCGATGTAAATAAAATACATGCTGACTTGAACATCCTTCTACTTTCTATCTTTCACACGTTAAGTAATATGAAATGTATAATATTGTATAATAGTAATGCACCAGATTTAAAAAGCATTATCTCAATTCTTTTAAGAAGTTTTATGATTGAGGATATGCGAGTGTAAGAACTGAATGAAGAATTGGATCTTCTTTTTTTAAATAAATATTACTTTAAAAAATATATCTTAATTTCCACTTTGTCCCTGTTCCAAAGTATTTTTTTAAATTATGCTAATCTGGAAATCATATTGTTTCTATTCAGTTTTACCATTGTCGTGAATTATTTTCAACCTTTTACACATTGGAGTAGTTTTGTGCAGGTGGAGCTGGCATGCACACTGTTTTGCAGATGATTTAGGGTTTGAGCTGGAGCTTTTAGTTTTGAATCTTTTCTGAGGTTTCAGGGACTATTTGAAAATTATCAGTAAACAGCATCCCATTGACTTTCCATGTTTACAGCAACAAGAGAAGAAAACAGCTGTACAAATAAAAACATCTTTCAAGAGTAAGAAGCTAAATTTGAGGAGTTCGAGTTTGTACAATGTTAGGTGTTTCCTGTGTGCTGGTTTAATTTTAACTCAACACTGTCCATTTAACAATAGCCAAATGACTAAAATTTTCACTTCTAAGCTGTTACCTTCTTGAATTGTTATTACTTTAGAGGTGGTGGGGAAAACAGAAAATGTAGAGAAGAGTCCACTAATCCAGAAAAGTGTAACTTGGCCCTAGCAGATCTGTTTTACTGCTTAAAATAATTTGTGTTCACCATTAAATTACTTGTTGTTTTGTGGGGCAAGAGGCAAGAAAGAGGAGAATATTTACATTTAATGGTCATTTTTATCTTTTTTTTCTCTGCTTCAGCTAAATTCCTCTGTTTTTAATTAGAGTTGAATACTCAGAGTGTAGTGGTGACTGTTATACTCAGTTTTTTACACCTTGATTTTTTTCTCTGCCTGCAATGACTAAATTAGGCCACAGCTTACACCAAGCCCTGAGTTTTCCAGTAACATGAATGGACATGAGTGATCTTTATACTTCAGCAAATCAGAGGTCTCCGTGTCATGTCCTGACAAGCAGCATGAGTGCACTGGGGAGCTCACAGAAGACTATTCATGTCAACAAGGAGCAGTGTTCAATTATGGTGGTGCTGTTACCACTCTTCATTCCTTTGAGTCCAGATGGAGCATTTGGGGTTGTGGATGTGAGAGGCTGTTTTACAAGTTAGAGAGAAAACCTTTCTAAAACCACAACAGTTACTTTACTGGGTTTCATAAGACCTACCTTTCAGGGAACTTAAAAGTATTGGAATGGTAAAGGTGTCACCTCTTTTCTCTTCCAGTAGTCATCTACAAAGCATGCTTCCCATGAAGTCCAGAATGACTTGTGTCTTCTGTTAAGCCTGACTTTCTGTACTTTATTTAAGAATAAACTATTACATACCTCTAGTTCATACTTGGACATCTGTGCCAATTCCTGTGAGCTTCTGTGAGACTTGAGACTAAGACCCACCTTGTTTCAGTGTGACTGACATGGCATTTTGCATTTCTAATTTTGAATTTTTAGTCATCAGTATCTTGCAAATCTCTGTAGTTTCATACAGGTGAGCTAGTACTGATATTTTGTCATAGGAAATTTCTACAGAAAAAATGCACTGTTTTTAGTTTTCCTTCTTCAAGGATTTATAACTATGAAAAGCAGTAAGTTCATCTGAACTATAAATTTATACTAATACATTCTGCTGATTTGTTTATGATTTTAGATGTGTAGTGTCTGGATTTTTGAGGGTTTGTGTGTGTGTGTTTCAGTTTTGTTTGATTGTTTTGCTTTAGAAAATATTCCTTTATTAGTAAAGTACCTGCCATTGCAGTTGAAGCAAATAATTTCTTAAAGTATGTATTTCTTATTGCAACACTGACATCCATTTGTGCAAATTACTGTTAATGAGCTTTTATGTACATCTTACTCTCAAAATCTGTCACTACTTTTGATTTTTTTTTTCAAACTAGTAAATGCTTTTACCTTCACTGTCTTCACATTTCACCTCTTGAAAAAACTGTTTTTGCATTTTCCAGGTGTGTGTCTTTGTATTTACATTACATGCTCTTCAATAATAATGTAGATTTGTTTTTGTTTTAAATAATTTTTTCTTGACTATTATTTCCACCAAGATTCTGTGATATAATCATGTTCATGATTATTGCCTTATTATTCAATGTAAAATGGTTTAAAGCTTACAGGCCACTCTCTGCTTTACAAAAAAATAATCAGTTTATGGTTTGGTGTTCTTGCATACTTTTCTTACTTCTCAGTGTGTTAATGTATGTCTCTACAATTCTGAGACGCCAGTGTTTCACTTTTTTTCCTCCTTCCTTCAGCAGTGATTTCTTTTGGTCATGGCATTTTGCTGTGGCACTCAGGATCAGTGACTTTCTCCAGACATTTCTTGTCAACCACTGTGCGCTTTCAGTAATCCCATTTTGAATGGAAAATCCTATAAAAGGTTCTGTAGGCTTCTTGCCACAGCAAACTACTGCTCAGGAGCTAATAGTTCTGAGTAGTGCATTTGAGTAGATACTTGTTCTTTAGTTCTGTTTATTTTCTTTGAAGACTGTTTGGTTGCAAGGTGACTATATCTCATTGTGGAGATTTCAAAAGCATAAATCACTTTGAGCTAACTGCCTATAGCTTTTTGTACCTTTGAAAACATTTTCCTTCTTGAATATCCTGTTTGTTTAGCAGTAGTCCTTAATTTTGAGTAGCTTGGGTCCAAGGGTAAATGTGGTCATAATCAAATTCATACTTCATTCTAGGTGACTATAAAATTTTAAAACATCCTTTTTTGTTTCTTATTAAAACAAACTGACTCTTGCATAGAGTTGGCATGGGAGGAGGAGATGAAAAACATCTATTTCTGACCCTTAGTATTCTGGGACTGTATTCTAAAGAAAGTTTCAGTGGAACGTGAAAGGGTATTTGAAGGGAAGGAGGTTGACTTAATTTTACATGATGTTGTTACATAACAGAATAACAGAATCATAGAATGATGGGGGTTGGAAGGGACCTCTGGAGATCATCTACTCCAACTTCCCTGCTAAAGCAGGTTCAGCTGGAGCAGGTTGGGCAAGATCTTTGTCCAGTCTAGGTTTGAATATCTCCAAAGGAGACTCCACAACCTCTCTGGGCTGCTTCCAATGCTCAGTCAATCTCAAAAGAAAAGTTTTTCATTGTATTCAGATGGTCCCTCCTGTGTTTCAGGTTTGTTCTAGTTAGGCTTCCTCTAATAAGACTGCCTTGCTGATTGCAACCCTCTGAGCTCTGCCATTTGGCCAGTTCTCAAAGCAACAAAAATAATTCTTAGATGTTTGAAAAAAAATAGAAAAAAAAAACATTCAAAATCTTCTAAGGGACATTCAGGTTTGGGGATTTCCCAGGAAGTGATTGTCTTTAATCTCAGCTATTTCTGCTCATTTCTAGAAGGTAGCAACAAGGTGAAGAAAAATACATACTATGTAGCCAGAGACTTATAACAGCCATAAAGTGGATAAGATATAAATGTTTTTATTTCTTGTCTTACATTCAGTCATAAGTACACTAAAATAATGTAACTGACTACCATCTCTAAGTGCTTTTTAACACTGCTAATAGCATAATAACTCTATTAACAGCATGCAGGCATTTTCACAGCTAAGCGTAAATATAGAAGTAACGTGTAGTTGCAAAGGGAGACTTAGGTTTAATTGCATCAAAGGAGGACAAAATCCACGTGAATCAACAATTAAAACTAAAACTTGAATTACTTACAATTCAAGTAAAAATGGCAATCAGAAACCAAGGATACAGAATAATCAGGAAAGATTTCTGGTGGACCAAGAGCAATTTTTTTGTCCTAAAGAAATGAAGATAATAGGGTCAGGATCAGATAAGATTGCTTCCCACATTTTTTGGTGGAGCTGATTATGAATAATAAAAAGACACAGTGACAGCAAGGAGACATACAGAAGAAAGAAGTCTACCACCGTGGATCCTGCTTTAGAGTCCAAACAGCTCCCTCACCTCTTTACCTCAGCTTTAGTAACTAAGACTGTCAAGGACCACAGCCATTAGTATTTAACTACATGGCATCAGCTCAGTGGTATTGTGTACTCAAAGCTAATTTAGGATAAGGTGATTAGGGCCTAAGTGTTTTAATATGTAGTGATAATGGCTGATAATCGTTAAGAACTTAACCACCCGGCAATGTGTTGTAAATGAATGTCAATCTAGTTAAGCAGTGGTTATAAAGTTTGCAATTGGTGTTATTTATCAGGTTTTCAAATCTTCCCATCACAGCTACTTTAAGCTTCACTGTGTTAAGCAGTAACTGCTTATCAGGACAGGGACACTTGAAGCAGCTCTGCAGATTTTTCTGTTTAAAGCCTAGAATTGAGAAATAATAGGAATCACAGGATAAAGATGTGATTACCTATTTTGAGTCAAAGAAACTGCACAGAGCTTCGTCAGAACCCAATGCCAGTGGATATATGCATTTATTTTGTGTGAATCTATCTAGGAATCTGTAATGTCCTTATTGTAGCTTGGAACTCCATACATTATTTATGTTTTGTAAGCTCTGCATCAAGACATTTGCTTGTGAGCATTTCTATTCTATGATCTTGTCACAACGTCTTATTTTATTTTCTTGCTTTTCCTGTTTGTGGTACAAGCTCCAAATTCACAGATGAGATCAAAGTAAAGATGAAACAAAAATCCTCTTGAATTCCTATTTTAAAAAGTTGACTGTTACACTCTCTCTCTCTCATCCCAGATTCACATATATCCATATCATCAGTATGTGTGTGATCACTAATTTCTGTTTCATTCAATTTTATATTGAGTCATGCAAATTTAGTCTGGCTGCCAGAATTGTCTTCTGATGTGATTTCACAAGCCAATGGAAGGTCCTGTGTAATGTAAATTTCTTGCAGAAATCTAAGGTTTTTCTTCAAGTGTTTCCCTTCATTGTTCTTCATGCTCAACCCTGGTATCTTTTGGTATCTGAAAACAGGTGTCCCCTCGCCCCCCTCCCCCATTTCCCCCTGAGAATAAGAAAGAAAGACACAAATACTAAAACACACAGAAAGAAAAGCAGAATTGCTCCCTACCTCTTAGCAAGCAAGTTCTGACTGCTCCATCTCCCTTTTCTTAAAATAGCTGCAGTAAGACCATTGCCCCTCCTTTTCCCTGTCCCTTCCCTTGCACTGGAAAAGAAAGGAAGTTATCATAATGATAGGCTTTCCATACATCGGAAATCCACAGAAAGTGTTTCTAATTTCTCTTGCAAACAAACCTCAGAAAAATTAATTAAAATAGGTTACAAAGCTAATATAACATTGATCTTGATAGAGGGGGGAAATGTCAGTGTGAAAAACGGTTTTTTTAATGTGTTTTGTGGCTGTGGCTAATTTTACCATTGCTGAAATCATAGAATATGCTCATTTGGAAGGGAGTCATCAGGATTATCAGGTCCAGCTCCTGGCCCTGCACAAGACACCCCAGGAATCACCCCAATTCTGCCTGTGTTTTAGCAACACTTAAAAGTTATGGAAAATTTTAAAAATAATTTAAATTTGTGTTTTGGCTTCAGCTGTGGAGAGAGTTCCATAAAATGTAGTTTGCAAAAATTGCAATGTATAGTGTAGCATCACCAATGTGATAGCCAAAATTGTTTGTAATCTTGAATGAAGGCATCAATAACTGCATTAATGACACAGAAGAATAAATGAGAAAGGGTTTAGCAAAATTTAAAATTCTAATATAGTTGCAGTGGAAGAAAAAGTGACTGATAAATGCAAACAGCTTCTTCATATCTGTGAGGGACTACTCAGGTTCCAGTTTTTGAGGCTGATGTTGTCCTTTTGTATGCAACTTTATATGCAACTTCAGAAACCTACTCTTTGTACTGGAATTGGTGGTGAATAATCTTTACTCACAACTGAAATTAGCTGTCTTGCTGTAAATGGGCTTTCTAGTGTAACCTTTGGGCATGTGAGGGACTTGAGCTGGCAGTGCTTCACTAGGCACCAGCATATGCAGCTGTGTGTGTCTTCACTTCTGAGTTATGTTGCTACACTTTTGGAAGACCTTTCTGTCTGTATGGCATTTATACAGCTTAGTTGTCCTAAATTAAACATTTCAGTTTTTAATGAAACTCTAAAAGTAGCTTGTTTCTATGGCATATTGTTGTCTGGCAGTGTTATGGCATGAATACAAATGTGTGACTGTGGTCAGAAGCAGAGTGATTAGTGTGACAATGCTGAACACCCTTACAGAAGTTACTAGTTTTCTTTTGAAAGACTGCTGTCAGTAATGGTGGGCTCACATTTACAGGACTGTGATACAACATTTAATTTTAAGCACATATTTCTGTGCTAAGGTAATTAAATGCTTGCTTGTGTTCATATATGTCAGTAGATATAGACACCTGTACAGTATATGGGTTTAGATATATGTGTGTGTGCGCTTTGGTATATGTGTGTGTGCAGTCGTTGAATGATGATGTAGGATGAGGCATAGGTATGTGCAAGCAAATACGAAAGTAATGCTTGGACTCTTTTTGTCAAAGTTGAACCAGAGCTGCATATGTAGATTCATATTTGCCTACAATGAATGTATTGAGTAAATTTTTTTTTAATAATACATTGAATTGTTTATATCTCAAAGGAGAAAAAACCCAAAACATACAGAATACCTAGTGCCTGCTTTCATTTCACTTTTACTGTAGTTCTTTAATGTACCTTAGTCAATGTCATCTTCTGATTTTTTTTTTGTAGATGGTGTGAAAGAATCTCAGTTGCGCAATCAAGATGAACAGAATGGCTTTCTTCAACAAGAAAATAGAACATCAATTTTTTAGGATTATATCTACAACATGAAGCATTTAGCAGTAGCTGTCTTTGAGAACATTCATCTATGACCTGAAATGTCCTGATCCTGGGAAAAAAATGGGATTCCATTAATTAAGTCTATATTTTTTAAATGCATTTTCATGACTAATTATATTTGCTTATGCACAACACGGATACAGAATTCATAAACCAGAGATTATTTTAACACATGCACACATTTTGTTTTACATTCAGTATACAAGATACCTAATTTTAATCAAATTTTAAATAATCTTTTAAATTATCTATTTATTAATAAATGAAGTCTTGGCAAGAATTTATCATCCATGGACATGAGTAAAGGAGATTCCCTCGGAATGGATGATACTTTTGTATTGGGTAAAATCAATAACTTGAAAGTAGAGCAAGAAGACGACAGCATTAACTGTACTCTAGAAAGAACAGATATAAAGACAGAACAAGATGATTTCAAACATGCGGACAGCAGTGATGAACAGGAAGACAAAGAAAGGAACTTCATTACCAACAACTCTGGCAAATATTTGTCTACAGAAAATGAAGATGATTATGGATCTCTTTTTTCTCAGTATAGTAATACGCTGTATGATGTAGCAATGGAAGCTGTGACACAAAGCCTCCTTTCTAGCAGAAATATAAGCTCCAGAAAAAAGTCACCTGCTTGGAACCATTTTTTCATATCTCCTAGAGATAGCACTAAAGCAATATGTATGTACTGTATGAAAGAATTTAGCAGGGGTAAAAATGAAAAGGACCTGAGTACAAGTTGTCTCATGAGACATGTGAGGAGAGCACATCCCACTGTGCTAATTCAAGAAAATGGAACTATGCCAGGTATATCTTCCTTTTCTTCATCTACGTTATTGCTGCCACCTCAGTCTGCAGATGTTGGAGATCTGAGTTCTATGTTATCCCCCATAAAACTGGTCAAGAAAATGGCTTCTAAAATACCATCTCCAGATCGAATAATTGAGGAATCTGTTTCTATTGTTTCTTCTGAAGAAATATCAGATCTCTCCGTTTCTGAAAAGTGCAGCAAAGAAGAAGTCATGGCTGGTTCATCTCCACAGCAAGCCAATAACCAATATGATGACACTGTTGAGAATGTAGCAGAAAAAACAGTTGTAATTCCAAAGAGTGCATCAGGTTCTAGAAGAAGATCTGCTGTCTGGAAACACTTCTATTTGTCACCTCTAGATAATTCTAAAGCTGTTTGCATCCACTGCATGAATGAATTCAGTAGAGGTAAAAATGGAAAAGACCTAGGAACAAGTTGTTTAATAAGACACATGTGGAGAGCCCATCGTTCCATTGTCCTGCAAGAGAATGGGGGTGGTACCAGCATACCACCTCTCTACACCGCACCTCCTACTCTCTTGCCTTCTTTACTACCATCAGAGAGTGATCTGAATTCTATGTCATCCTCTCCTGGAAAACTAATGAAAGAACCAACTTCTGTTTCTTCTTCTCCAGACAGAATCTCTGAGGAGATCCATGCTAATCTCACTTCTGGAGACACTCTAGTTGAAGACTCAATACTGTCATCTTCTGATGATATAGGTGAAGTCTCCTTTGTTTCATCTCCTGAAAAACAGTGTGAGGGACTTGGTCCACTAATATTTGAACCTACTGCTGTGTTTCAGCAAAATAAAAGGATTATGAAAAGGCTTAAGTCAGAAGTCTGGCACCACTTTTCACTCTCACCTGCAGACAGTCTAAAAGCAGTATGTAGATACTGCAGTTGTATGATAAGCCGTGGTAAGAAAGGAGATGTGGGCACAAGCTGCTTAATGAGGCACCTATATAGACGCCATCCTGATGTAATTGGAAACCAAAAGAGCTTTCTCGATGTGAGTTTGGCAAATTCACCTTATGCCACTTTGGCTTCTGCAGAATGCTCATCCTCAAAGTTGACTGACTTGCCTACGATGGTTACACATGATAATCAAATTATATTTCCTGTTAATAGTAAGAAGACCTCAAAACTGTGGAATCACTTTTCAATTTGTTCTGCAGATTCAACTAAAGTAATATGTACACACTGTGGACGTATAATAAGTAGGGGGAAAAAGCCAACAAACCTAGGCACAAGTTGCCTTCTAAGACATTTGCAGCGGTTTCATAACAATGTATTGAAACCTGATGTCCCAGACACAGTCTTATCCTCATCTACGGATAATCATATGCCACTCCGCACAGAATTACTAGGATCTTCAAATTTTGACGAAACCAATGACAAGTTTTGTGACTCTCATCCAGTTGCCAAAAAAATCACAAGTCTTGTAGCCGAAATGATTGCACTTGATCTTCAGCCATATTCTTTTGTAGACAACATTGGCTTTAACAGGCTGCTTGAATATTTGCAACCTCAGTATTCTTTACCTTCTCCATCTTACTTTTCTAGGACAGCAATTCCAGATATGTATGATAATGTAAAACAAATAATTATTTCACATCTTAAAGAAGCTGAAAGTGGAGTGATCCATTTTACATCTGGAATATGGATGAGCAACCAAACACGAGAATATCTAACCCTGACCGCTCACTGGGTAACATTTGAGTCTTCATTTCGACCCCAGTGTGAGGATTACCATTGTTCAGCATTATTAAATGTATCACAGATTGATTGTGACTACAATGGAATCAGTGTTCAAAAGCAACTAGAATACTGGTGGGAAACGTGGATTACTTCCATTGGACTTCAGATTGGGATTACTGTTACTGATAATCAGAGTATAGAGAAAACTTTAAATGAAGGTGATCATTCAAGTGTCCAATGTTTTAGTCACACTGTCAATGTAATTGTAAACGAGGCTATTAAAAGCCAGAGAATGGTTCAGAATTTGCTTAGTATTGCAAGAAAGATCTGTGAACGTGTCCATCGGTCAGCAAAAGCAAAAGAGAAGTTAGCTGAGTTGCAAAAAGAGTATGAGTTGCCTCAACATCAGCTAATACAAGATGTTCCATCAAAGTGGAATACGTCATTTCATATGCTTGAACGCCTTATTGAACAGAAAAGAGCAATTGATGAAATGTCAATAGAGTGCAGCTTTCGGGAGCTAATAAGTTGTGATCAGTGGGAAGTCATGCAGTCAGTGTGTCATGCTCTGAAACCTTTTGAAGCTGCTAGTAGGGAGATGAGTACACACATGTCTACTCTAAGCCAAGTGATTCCAATGATTCATATACTTAACAGGAAAATAGAAATGCTATTTGAGGAAACTATGGGCATAGATACTATGCTGAAATCTTTGAAAGAAGCTATGGTGAGTAGATTGTCCTCCACGCTTCATGATCCAAGGTACATTTTTGCTACGCTTCTGGATCCCCGGTATAAAACATCATTATTTACAGAAGAGGAGGCTGAACAATATAAACAAGACTTAATCAGGGAGCTGGAAATAATGAGTTCTACCTCAGATGATGATAAACCTGTTTCCAATGGATGTGATATAGGTTCACCATCTACAAATTCTTATGGGGAAGATAATCTCTGGTCACTCATGGGTGACATGAAGAAAACAAAAGACCTGAAAGAGAGAGCAAAGTTACCAGAGGAAATGGTGCTTTCTTACTTGGAGGAAGAAGTGCTTGAGCATAACTGTGATCCTCTAACTTACTGGAACTTTAAGAAGTCATCTTGGCCAGTACTGTCAAAATTGGCTGTCAGGTTCTTGGGTTGTCCACCAAGCATTGTTCCTTCAGAGAGATTGTTCAATACATCCAATGAAAGCAACAACTTTAGTCAGTCAAGGTTAATGATTGAACACTTTGAAAAGCTTATCTTTTTGAAAGTGAATCTTCCTTTAATATACTTCCAGTATTGAAACTAATGAACAAACTGCTAGACTAAATCTATTGTTGCTCACTGGATATTAACTATCTATAACTCGGATTTTTAAATTGCTCCAGTAGGGGCCATGTATGACATCTAATCAGTGACTATAATTCCAAATTTTAGATTCATTTTTTTCAGCTTTCAATATGTCTACATGTGCCTTATTCATAGTACTTCAGGCCAGATATTGTATATATGTTTTTTAAAAGTTCACACTAGAGATAGCCTGTCTCGTCAAATTATATAAAATTATGTAGGTTTTAATCCATAATTGTAAATGAACTTTAAAAAGCTCAGTCATTTGTTTTAATAAAACGGAAAAAAAAAAAAAAAAAAAGATGTAAACAGTTCTATTCTGTAGTTTTTTATTCAATTATTATGTAAAAACCATAAACCAGGTACTGTATTTTAGTTGAACATTGCTTTAATTGCAGGAAAACAGGTTTTGTAATTCTCAAAAGAAAGCTGTACGTGAAAGATGGGGTTCAAGCTGTCTTTTTATCATATGGTGTTTTTAACTGCAAGCCCTGAAGTACTTAAAGGATTAAGAAGAGTTATTGAGGAAGATTTGTTTACAGGAGACTGTTGACTTAATATCTGAAAATAAATCTTAAATTTAACATGAGATGGAATGTCACTTATACAACAATCGCTAGTAAAACTTCCCATTCTGGGTTCTCCTGTTCAGGCTTTACATTTTAAGTGAATTACAGAAATATTCTAGGTATTTATAAAAGGTCTTTGGAAGTTCTCTCAAATTTGGTGAATTAATGCTTGTTATTTAACGTTGTATACAAAAAAGGCAAGAAACTTACCAAGAAGACTCTAATGTCATTCTGAAGCCTTTTCTAATATTTAGTGCATCAAAACTATAAGGTCCCTATTGTAAAAACTGAGCCCTTTCTCCTAATGTAATTTCAGTTGTGTAAAACAGCCTTTCTTAAAGCTCCTAGTACAGAAATAACTGATCTTCTGGTTTTCAGTAATAGCCTTATGGATATGGTGCACTGCTTAGATATATAGTAGGGTTGATTCCTAACTGTTGGTGTCCATCAGGCAAATGGGATATAAATGGGATATAAAGCCTTTAAAGCTTCAAATAAGATGGAAAAAATAGC